GCGTCACCGCGCGTCACTCCCGGATAATCGAAGATGGGCAAAGAGGCGGGAGCTGGTTGTTGAAACCACGCCCACCTAGCTCGATGGTGGTGACAGCAGCGCAATCCACCTGTCACTCAAGTGGCCACGTCCTTAATTATGCAGAACTTTAAGGCTTAGTATAATTTAAACGGATGAGTTATAAAAATATTCACCCCCCTCACAGTTGTCATGAAGGGCAAAATTAGCTATATAGACCAAAACCACTTTTTGTTCCAGGCTGTAAACATGTTTTTTTCTGCTGTAAAGTTGGGCATTTTAACATGGGGAGTCTATGGGACTGACTCCCTTTTGGAGCCAGCCTCTAGCGGCCAGTCGATGAATTGCAGTTTTAGTCACTTCCGTGTTGGTTTCACGAGTGAGAGCGGAAGGTTGCCGCTTGTAAACAACCCCCTAGGCTGCAACAGTGATAAGTAGCCCGATTCCGCGGGAAAACCGAGGATCTGGCAACACTGGTCGGAGGAGCGCGCTGTAGCAACGTCATAACTGTGTTGTCGAGTGTAAGACGCTGATTGGCTGTTGCAGTGTGACGGGGCTTCCTGTCCCAGATCGCAGGGGTGAGACAATAAAGATCCGAGCAGCAGCATTTCCATTAATAACAGCATAGCTGGACTTTATCTGTGATCTCACTGACACGCACAGCAGTTAGACTTATTTATCAAATCCTTAAATCAAATAGATCCCAGAAAAAGGTAAGTGGCTCTATAAATCCTAAAGCATTTCAGTTCATTTCGACATGTTTTTTATATTCATTCAGATGTCATAATTTATTTTTAATTATTGTGCATCAATAAATGTTGCTTGTGACGTTATTGACATTTAGTAGAGAGTAACCTGTTTCTTTGTCATTTTTCTTAATGCACTGAAGCAGCCTTCATGTAAGCATCATTATAATAAATTACATGAAAGCATTCTTGGAATGTTAAAGACAATGCAAATTATTTAAAAAATGCCACTTTGCTACTGAGAAGTGGAAGACGGTTTTGAATGTTTTCTGTGTTATTAATAGTATTGTTAGTAGTATAATGCATATTTTTACTCCTTTCAGATTGGGACTTCTGAGCACAGAAATGGTGATGGAGAAGCCCAGTCCCCTGCTGGTAGGGCGGGAGTTTGTGAGACAGTATTACACGCTTCTCAATAAAGCACCAGACTTTCTGCACAGGTATATCATGATTTCCTTCCTTTCACGGCTTCTGAGGAATACAAATGACTAAAAACGTTCTCACGTTTCAGATTTTATGGACGGAACTCATCCTATGTCCATGGTGGACTGGATGCCAATGGAAAGCTTTCAGAGGCAGTCTATGGGCAGGCTGTAAGTGCTAATGATTGTTGTGTAGCCTGTAGAGTGATGAAGATACTCACCAGCACCTGTGCTCCTCATCTACAGGAGATCCATCAGAAGGTGCTGTCCCTGCAGTTCAGTGAGTGCCACACAAAGATTCGGCACGTGGATGCACACGCCTCTCTGAGCGATGCTGTGGTGGTGCAAGTCATGGGAGAACTGTCCAACAACGGCCAGCCCATGAGGAGGTTCCTACAGACGTTTGTTCTGGCTCCAGAGGTGTGTATAATGAGAGCGTGGCATGTGCGTTCCCTCTGCTGACAAGTTTCTGTTTAGCATTGATTTACTGTAAACCAAATGCAGTTATTAAACACTAAATAATCATCTGCATTGGTGTTCACCTCCAGGTTGGTATTTAGTATGGGGTTTCTGTGGGCCTTCATATGTGACCCGTCTTAAGTCGCTGGGGTATATTTGTAGCAATAGCCAACAATACACTGTATGGGTGAAAATATTCATTTTTCTTTTATGCCAAAAATCATTAGGATATTAAGTAAAGATCATGTTCCATGAAGATATTTTGTAAATGTCCTACCGTAAATATATCAAAACTTAATTTTTGATTAGTAATATGCATTGCTAAGAACTTCATTTGAACAACTTTAAAGATGATTTTCCCAATATTTAGATTTTTTTGCACCCTCAGATTCCAGATTTTCAAATATTGTCCTATCCTAACAAACCATACATCAATGGAAAGCTTATTTATTAAAGCTTGTGTATAAATCTCAATAAAAAAAAATTGACCCGTATGACTGGTTTTGTGCTCCAGGGTCACAAATGGTCTTAATTTGCCCTGAAATGTTTTTGTTTTATTGTTTTTGTATCTAGGGTTCTGTGGCAAATAAGTTTTACGTTCACAATGATATCTTCCGATATGAGGATGAGGTCTTCGGTGACTCCGAGGCGGAGCTGGATGAAGGTTAGTTGATAATTAAAGATTATTACACACATATCCATACCTTTTTCTTCACTTTTACAGTCTACTTGGACCCCATGGTTTTCATTTGCTTGCCAATTTTATTTTTTTTAATTTTTTTTTATTCTTCTATCACTTTTATTTTTTTTTGCATTTAGTGAAAATTCAGCTTAAATGGTCTATGGCTGATTATATTTCGTTGTTTTGAGATGGATGTGATTTATGGTTGCCTAGCAACTAGCAGTTACATTTGTAACACTTCGAACATAAGCCCTGCATGCAGCATCTATAATAAGACTGTCACTTCTCATATCCATACCTTTTTCTTCACTTTTGTCCAGCTTTTAATGTACAGAGAAAACTCTCTTTTATGAAGTGAACTCACTTAAAGAGTTATTTAGTAAAAATTTTCCAGGAAAAGTTTTAGAATTTTTATTACATGTTAATGTAAAAAATCTTGTGTGATATAACTTGTCACATAAATGTTGACTTTAAAAAATCTGAAGTCGTTTAACCCCTATGTATTTATTTAATAGCTTTATTATTATTATTTATTTATTTTGCAACAGTCCAAGTCTTAATTATTCAAAGCCTCCGTTCATTACACCAGTGAGACAGATGCACAAATTCGTTTAGTTGCACAAATTACAACTACATCTAAAAAAGCCACTTGAACTTAATTAATGCTCATCTCATTGTTTGTAATTGTATACCATTTGGGCTTCATAGAACTTTGTTTGGATGGATGCTGAGGATATAAACAGTCTGTTTTATTATAGACGGAAGTCAACCATACAAAATACTTGAGTTCTGTCAGGAATAACTTTTCGCAAAATATTTTGTGAGTTGGTTTCTTTAGAGCTACAGTAATGTTTTAAAGCAAAGGGATAGTACTTTCTCATTCAGTTTTTTTTTTTTTTTTACACAGCTTCGAACGCGGCTCAGCCAATCAGAATCAAGCACCGGAACTATCTGTTTTATAAACCGTATTAGACTATAACTGGAGAGGATTCCTGTTCCAGTATGGTACTGTTGAGTAAATATGTTGAAAGCTTGAATTCCTGCTTCCCCTTTTATAAGTTGTCTAATGTCTTGTTCACCTTCAGCTGTAACAATGGTGTGGAAGAAGCTCACGAGGAAGCGGCTCTGGAGCTAGAGCCCGAGGCCGCCGAGGAGCCCAAGATCGAGGAGCCGAAGCTCAAGGCAGAGGAGAAGATGGTAGAGGAGTTTGAGGAGAAAGCACCATCTCCTGATCCTATGGAATCACCACCTAACATACAGGAACCACCCAAAGTAAATGCTGACCGTTAATGCCATTTATACATCAACTATACAGCTGTAGTTAACCCGTGTTAAAAAATGCAGAATTCATTTTTTATGGAAGCCACTGAATAAAAATAAAAAAGGTAATTGCTGCTTTTTTTATCTCACAATTCTGAGAACAGAAACTCACAGAATAAACTCACAATTGCGAGAAATAAAGTCCAATTCTAAGGAATAAAAAGACTCTGTTTTCTCCGAGGTATGACTTTATATAATGCGATTCTGACTCGCAACTGTGAGTTTATATCTCACAATTGCAAGAAAAAAAGTCAGTTTTGTGAGATAAAAAGTTGCAATTATCTTTTTATTTTTATTCAGTGGTGGAAACAGGCTTCCATATATGTGACCCTGGAGCACAAAACCAGTCATAAGGGTAAATTTCTCGAAATTGAGATTTATACATCAGCTGAAAGATGAATAAATAAGCTTTCCATTGATGTATGGTTTGTTAGGATAGCACAATATTTGGCCGAGATACAACTATTTGAAAATCTGGAATCTGAGGGTGCAAAAAAATCTAAATATTGAGAAAATCAATTTTAAAGTTGTCCAAATGAAGTTCTTATCAATGCATATTACTAATCAAAAATTACGTTTTGATATATTTACGGTAGGAAATTACTAAATATCTTCATTGAACATGATCTTTACTTAATATCCTAATGATTTTTGGCATAAAAGAAAAATCTATAATTTTGACCCATACAATGTATTGTTGGCTATTGCTACAAATATACCCCAGCGACTTAACACTGCTTTTGTGCTGCAGGGTCACATGTTTTAGTTGAACCAATCACATAAGAGATTGATTAGTACTTTGATAGTACGATAATTCAATTTATTTATTTTAGTATGCACTTATTCCAGTATAATTTGTTCACTGTTAAGTTTTAAAAAAAAAATTTTTTTCAGGTTATTGTTATTTTTATTATTATCCCTGATAAGTTATGCTGGGTCTAAATGATCCTGTCTCTGGCAGACTTCGTCTTGGGCTTCAGTGACCAGCAAAAACTTGCCTCTCGCTGGGACTGTTCCGTCCTCTGGAGCTCAACCACATGTTATTAAAGCACCAAACTCACAGGTAGCTGCTTATGAATATATTCAGATCGTTCTTCCTCATCTTCATATGATGCTGTGGACCCAGCGGTACTCGAACCGTGTTTCTTATGCGTGCTTTCTTGACTTTTACTGTTGTCAGCCCAGAGTTGAGGCCAAGTCAGAGCTGTCATCAGCGTCAATCCGTCCACGTGACCAGCGCATCCGAGACAGACCCTCAGTGACCTCCAGAGGGCCGAGATCTGGTAATTATTTCATTAACGAAGACGCAAGTGGTGTAGCACCAAATGTAGGTTTTCTGGGTGCGTAAATCCTAAGGCTCTCCAACTGTTCCTTGATTTTGCTTCGATAGAGGCCACATTAGAATGGTGCTATAAAGTGCAGTGCAAAACATTTTCGAGATCTCTTCATCAGTGCCATATAATTGTGGATACACACACCTGGGTCCATTTAATGATAATTTTTGATTAGTAATATGCATTGCTAAGAACTTCATTTGAACAACTTTAAAGATGATTTTCTCAATATTTAGATTTTTTTGCACCCTCAGATTCCAGATTTTCAAATAGTTGTATCTCAGCCAAATATTGTCCTATCATAACAAACCATACATCAATGGAAAGATTAAAAAAATGACCCTTATGACTGGTTTTGTCACATATAGGCCACAAACAGGTTACAGTTGCATGTTCAGATTATTATTATATCTACAGTATATCAAAATAAACCAAAAATCCATAAATAAACTTGATTATATAAATGTATACAATTCTGTAAATGCATACAAATGTCCATGATAGTTATACTCGCATAAGCGCAAAATTATAATCCATGTACATAACCAGTTCATTATTCATGCCTAAAGGATGTAATGACTTTATTTTACTACAAATAGCTTTCATTTTTGTGATCGTTACCCAGTTTTGATTGTTTTCTGCTTTTCTTGTGTATCATTAGATGGCGTCTCATCTTCTGACTCTCAGACGGGAAAGCCACATTTCAGCTTCGTAAATAAAGGTAAACTTGTCTTTCCGTTGTGAATTGGTTTGAGCTTTCGTTTGTGGTTTATGGGTGTAGAAAGGCGGATGTTGTTGGTCCTAGCAGGTGAGATCTGCTCTGTGTTGTTAGGAAGGGCTGATGATTCGGGTGAAGTGGACGGCAGAAGGGTGCTCCGGTATCCAGACAGTCATCAGCTGTTTGTTGGCAATCTCCCTCATGACATCGATGAGAGTGAGCTCAAAGACTTCTTCATGAGTAAGTTTGTGGTAATCAGTGTTGGGGGTAACGCATTACAAGTAACGCGAGTTACATAATCAGATTACTTTTTTCAAGTAACTAGTAAAGTAGTGCATTACTTTTTAATTTAGAAGAGAATATCGGAGTTACTTTTTCAAATAAGTAACGCAAGTTACTTTGTTTCCAATTTATTGATTGACAGCTCTGGTGTTGCCATGGTGACAGAAATCAGAAGATGTTACTGTAGTTCTAAAATAAATATGAATATGCATTAATTCATCTCACTCAAGAAACAAAACAAAACACAGATTCAGAATGCATTACTTTTAAAAAGTAACTTTCCCCAGCACTGTTGGTAACCATCGCGTTGATATCTATGAATCAATCTTCACATTTGCTTGTTCTTTCTGTCTTTCCGTCAAGGCTTTGGAAATGTGGTCGAGCTGCGAATCAACACCAAAGGCACTGGAGGAAAGATTCCCAACTTTGGCTTCGTTGTCTTCGATGATTCTGAGCCGGTGCAGAGAATTTTAGGCGTTAAAGTAAGGAAAGCTCATTTTATTTTGGTGCATGTTGGTTTAAAAATTTTTAGGAACTTTTATTCGATTTATTTCACAATTCTGGCCGACACAATAAGCTGGTGATTATTTTCATGTTCTGGCTGATGGTCAATATTTAAATTCTGAACTATTTTAAAGATCATTGATAAAGAAAAATATGATGTCTTGGATGAGATGCGCAATTATGAGGAATCTGCAGTTTCATCTCTTTCAGAGGAGTATAGAGGATCTGTTTAATGTGATTTAATTTCTAACACAAAAACAATCCCAAACACGCCACCGCACATTATTTTAAATAAATGCTGTCCTTTTTAACTTTATCCATCAAAGAATCCTGAAAAAAGTATCACCGGTTCCCAAAAAAATGTTGAGCTGTAAAACTGTTTCCAACATTGATAATAAATCAGCATATTATAAAGCGGAGAGTTCCGGTGCTTGATTCTGATTGGCTGAGCCGCGTTCGAAGCTGTTGTAAATGACTCTACAAAGTAACATACACCTTTGTTTACGTTTGTGTGTTGCTCGGCAACCACTTTGTTGCAACCACAACTGTTTCTGAGGAGCTACATTGTTTGGTGGAAGAATACTGTTTTTATTAATATCATTACACTTTATTTGCTCTGTTTTATTTTGTGAAACCTTACTACGTATATGGAATAACCGTTTTATAAAAGCAATAAGCCCCGTGAAGCCGTGGTTTACAGTCAATTTATAACAGCTAAGGGGGTTTATATTATAACTCATACCTAGCAACGCCCCTTAGCTGTTATAAATTCACTGTAAACCACGGCTTCACGGGGCGCATTGCTTTATTAGAACACTGCATACTGAGGTATAATAAGTGCTTGAAATGGACCCTGTTATGCCGTCAGTTATGAATGTCCCGTTTTAACATAAAACACTTGACTCTTGCTCTGCTTGCGATTATAGTAGGTTCATTTCATCCTATCTTTGATTTATATTCATATGGCTGATGGAGATAATATAGTTTTCTTGTCATATTGCAACATGATCAGTTTATGCATATTGTTCAAGAAATGCATTAAAATTCAACTTATCAAACCTGAATCACAGACAGACAACAGATAATTACAAGGACTTCATTGTTTTTACTCGGATATATATGTAAATTATTTAATTTCAGCCTTGTATTAATGTTAAATGCCTTAAATATTACTTTGTTCTCGCCTTGAAGATAAGCCTGCAGCCATTAAAAACAATAAATATATATTTTTCATACAGGAGGTGGTCACCAAATGTGTGGATCTTAAAACAGTGAGCTGATGTTCCAGAAAAAGCTCGCTGTGTGTTTTCTAGTGTTTACTAGTTGCCTTCGAGAACATGCTTGTGAGCCAAAGAGGAGAGAAACATAATTATTTCTCTTTCGTCCTTCTCCCGCCGTTACGTGAGTCTTGAGCCTGGAGCAGAAAACCGACAGATTGAATTATTTACACTTGTGTGTTTAGTTTCTGTATGCATACGGCGTTTGGAAATGAACCTGCCAGCCAGTCTGTGTGAATCTCATAAAGCCGAGAGCGTCACGTCCAGCTCACGTTAAACCCCAAAGCAAGAAAATGACGGATTAAGTGTTGCTTAATGAAAATGAATCCTGTTTTCAAGAGCATTAGGCTATTTGCCTTGTGAGATTTATTGTTTTATTTCCTTGACAACTAAACACCTCCACACATTCTTATCATTGAAATGTGCAAAAAATAATGGCTAAATGTGAATTAATTAGTTAAATATTTACACATCATGGTATTTTTGTTGTGCTGCCTGTATTTCTGTTATTTAAAAAAAATTTATTCAGAGTCTTTACAGTAATGAGAATTTGGTGTAAAATGGGTTTTAACTGTCACTGACAAAATAGGCTTCATGATCATTACACAACATGTCATTTAATTTTTTTATTTTTATTATTAAATTAAATTATATTTATTTTCTGACCAAAGCCTGTTTTTGTGAGATTCTCTTGTATAGATATTGATACTTTGTGTTGCGCTTTATTCATGTGACACTGAAGACTGATGCTGAAAATTCAGCTTTGATCACAGAAATTACAGTTTAACAGAGATTCACATAGAAAACAGCTGTTTTAAACTGCAATAATATTTCACTATTTTTACTGCATTTTTGATCAAATGCAGCCTCGATGAGCAGAAGAGACTTCTTTAAAAACACTTAAAATCTTACTGATCCCAAACTATTCAACAGCAGTGTACATCCAAGATAAACAGGGACAAAACCTCAAGCTTTTTTTTTTTTTGTAATAACTTTCTTCATGTGTACAGATATGATATTGAGAGTATATTTAATTTGTGATTAGCCCATCATGTTCCGTGGCGAGGTGCGTCTGAACGTGGAGGAGAAGAAGACGCGTGCGATGCGCGAGCGGGAAACCCGTAGTGGAGCAGAAGACCGGCGGGACGCCAGGCGCGGTGACCGGGCTCTGGGGGGGCCCCGTGGCTTCATGATGCGCGAGCGGGAAGCCAGGGGCCCCCCGTCACGTGCCGTGGCCCCTGGGAGGAGCACGGGTTCCAGTGAGGGCCGCTTCACCGCTCCGAGGCGTTGAGAGGAGCTCCCTTCATTCATCTCCATACTGAGAAGTCTATGTGAATGCATACTTGAGTTTTCTGCGTTTTTACTCCTTGTGTTGTACACTTGCATTTTTGCCTTTGGAACGAGAAACAGATCAACAACTTGAACAACCTCATGATTCAAAACACACTGTTCACTTTCAGTTGGAGTTAGGCAACCCTAGACCCTAACGGTTGCACACTTTGTAGGGAAACGAGTCTGTAGAAGTACCCTTCTTTTCGTGTTAGATTACCTTCCAGTTGCTATTGGTGTCAAATGTGCAGACTGACGGGTCGAAGGCCTTTTTGAAAAGTATTTTTGGTTTGTTTTTCAGGCTGTTATTTAGGTTGTTTCTCTTTTCGGCTTATGAATAAGCAAAAGGTTTTCTTTTTTAATGTACAGATTTGACAGCGTTTCCTTTGTCTTCTGGGTCTGCCTGAATGAGGGAACGGAGCACTTATAGAAGCGTTTGTAAAGTGGAAAGATATCAAGATTTTTGTGTCAAGGCATTTTTTTTTTATTTATGCTGAATGTTTTTCTTAAGGCAGAGCCACTTTATTAAATTTTAATTCTCAATAATCATTTTTTTTTTTTTTTTTTTGTTTATTTATGGTGTGTGCAGCTTAAATATAATATTTGTTTTACAGAAAGTGTCACAAACTCCCTAAAGAGAAGCACTTGGTGACGTTTACATGCAGTTTCATTCATTTTGAAGAGCTGGAAAGTTTGGTGTGTCCATTTCCCTTGCAAACAATAG